TCAACGACAACGTTGTCGTCTGGTTGTAGCCAAGTAACTAGCTTGTCCATGACTTTTTTTGTAATTGTAGCATCATTTTCGCTGCCAGTGAATGGTCCTACTGTGTCCAGAATGTAGCCATCTGGTAAGGCGATGCTCATGAATTTGAGATAGTTTCTCTTCTTCTGGCCACAGTAGGACATTCTCTGGAGCTTGTGGTCGGAGCTTTTCTGGATATAAATATAGGTGCCATCTAATATGGCAGTGGCTTTATCTCCAAAAAATGCTTCTGAAAAGACAGTATTGTGCCCGAGCAACTGTTCTCTTGTCAAGTGATCCGGACCTAGAAATTGTGGGACTATCGATGTGTCTAATGCCTGTACTATGGAGTGGAAAGTTTTGGACACACTTGACTTGGAAATTCCAAAAAGAGAAGAACACTGACTCCAGGAAATGTCGGTTTTCAGTTTTACCCAGAACAGTAATAGAGCATCGTGTGTAGTCTTGGTATATATACCAGATGAAAGATATGGGGAACAGTGCGAGTGGATTTCGAGGAACTGATCTTTGGACCAACCTGTCCAGGCCATGCATGCCGAGTCATCAAGAGAAGAAAAGCTTATTGTAAACGCAGACTGGTTCTGTGAAAGGACGTGCGACACCTCTAGGAGGTCATTAATGATTTCGGACGATTTTGATGGTAACTGAGATTCCAAGGAACCTCTACCATCAAGGACAACCTCTGTAGACGGATCTAAGTCGTTACCAATAAGGTGAATGGAGCAGACGCGGGATGAGGTGGGACACCACAGTTTGTGTGAATAGATCAGGTGATGTCTTGCACGTTTTGGTAAGACTGATGATTTTGTTCCATTTCTTGCAAAGGTAACAAGACAGAGACAGCATTTTTTGTGTGAAGATGATCCATTCAAAAGATCATGAAGGGTCAGCAACGGCAGGATATGGGACGGGGAGTCGTCTTCTTCCTCTATTTCCTGGTTCTGCTCGGGTTCAGGTTCAGGCTGATTTTTGTTCCGAAGATACTTCATGTAGCACTTCTGGCAAATAAGTGCTTGTTCCTTTGCTGACATCAATCCTTGTTGCACCAGCGTATCTAGGAGCCATTTATATTGTGGACTATTTACATTGCGTGCACTTCTGTTCTTATTGCCACTACGTTTCTTGAAGTATACTTGACACCCTTCTCCAACACATTTACCCTCCATCTTGAAACAATAACGATTGGTTTATGAAGCGTCGATAAAGTAACAAAATAGCAAGCCACCGATGATTGCTGTAAACAGCTAATACTTAGTAGTTTGGTACAATTATGCGAAAATGTGTGATAAATAACGAACAACTAATTACACAAAATAACAAGACAATATAATAAATCACATTCAATACCTCCAAGAAGCGCAGAATTGATTGATTACTTAGAACAAAATAAAGTATTTCATATGGATAATCTATCTATTCGATGTGGCGTGGTCGGCAGGCACAAAGAAAGTGAGACAAGTCAGGGTCCCAACCCTGACAGAGCCACAACGCTTTGGAGATGGGACAATAAAACAAGGAAAGTGAGACAAGAATAGCTAGCGTCGAGTCAATGATTCCGTAAACGTATAGACAAAGACAAGAAGATACGGATAAATGTACAAGGCCACACGATCAGAAAATTCAGAAGAGGACAACTTGAGATAGAACAGTATTCATGTATCAGGGTGTCCTCAGTGTAAATCTTTATATCGATACTGTTTATTTAGTCGTTACACATCATAAAACTGTCATGAAAATATCCGCTCTGATATTCAATATAAAAGTTTGTATATAATAAGCTATATAATAGGGTTTCAGACAAGGTTGTTACTCATTTCCCCTTTTCTTTCAATTTGCAACCACATTCAGGGGCGATATGAGAACGTTCCACCACATGGAATTAGCTGATTTTTGGTACACATATGAAACAAGTAAAGCTCTATCCGATTTTCTGATGGAAACTTGCATCCAAAACTATATAACATAATTGTGTCTCTGCAAGTGCATTTTCATACGAGAATTTTTTTTTTATGTTTTATGAATAAACACGATGTTTTGGAAATATTGATCAAAAGAAATTTATACTATGTTGCGAATTACAATTTCGAGATAACCTACTTTTATTTACGAACTTATGTCTTTGATGCTGAAATTGACAACTTTATAAAAATACACTTTCACTGAAATTATGAAATCTGGGTGTCGGAAAGGTGTAAAATTATTCTTCGGAAAAGAAAAAAACAGTAGGTGAGCTAGATAAGAAATTATACGGGGGCAGGCTCCTATGGAGAATTAACATTACTGGAAACAGGCCCTTTCACACAATTCATGTCTTTCGACGTGCATGCCAAGCTGGAGCCGTGATCACTCGCCACTGTTGGAATGGATATATAAACAAAATCCTGAAAATATTGTTTGTGTATATGTCGACATTATTGACCGATTATCTATAAAAAAAGTGACACACATGTGGTAGCGCAAATATATTACTCTTACTATACATCCAGAAGAGGCGGTTATTTGGTACTACGTAAAAGACTGATGGTCTGTGGAACTTTTCTGGAGTTTTGGCATATATAAATGCTTATGCCAAACCTTACAGAGTTAAATTATTTTTATAAGTCAGTTTATTTCTATGCAGCATGAAAAATGTATAGATATATGACTGTTCCGCATGCATTTTTATTATAATATGAATATAATTATAACAGTACAGTATTAACATACTACTCATTTTGTGATGATCAATCAATCAGTTATATATATATACATGTACTTGGAATCGGTGATGATAGTCTGAAAATAAAACACAACTTCAAAGTGTCAAACATAAAGGTAGTGTACAATTGGCAAATTTCTTGAACATTTTCATTTTGCATCATTTACACCTAGCTACATGTATATCTCCGCAAGTTCTAGATCAAAATTCCCCTTTTAAAACAGAAGTTGCTAAAAATCCATATTTTTCGTTGTCAATTAAGAATTGGCTTTAGCATTTTACTTAAGGAATAACAAGAGTTTTAGTTTATTAACTCTGGTCTAAACCCTGAAATGATCCTCTCCATCCAGGTCTATGAAATAGACATCATTGCACACCCTGACCTATGCTACGGAGCGTGGAGATCGGCAAACTTGGACTGAAAACTTTTCAAAACTGATAAAATGTCTTTGTTTAAACAATTCATCGTGATATGACCCCTGCACACATGATTGTTTTAAAATGTCTGTTTTTGGTATTTATTGTACGTTTCATTGGAAAATTAATAACTTTTTTATTTACCAAACACTTTGGCAAGATGATCTAATTAACAAAGGGTCGTTTCCTGTCCTAAGATCTGTGACCCATGTCCTAATCATCGAGATGGCTATGCCATATTGCATCTTGATTGAAACAAAGACTGGGATTTTGTTGATTAGACAAATTCTTTTCTCTCAAAATTATTTCGTACAATTTGCAAAAAGCACTAATTTCTTTTTCCCCGATTAGTAATAAAAATTCGCAAATTGCGGAAAATGCAATCGGTAGTGTAAGCATCTATAGTATAATTAAGACACAGATTTTTTATGACATCGTAATGTGTACAGCAATCAAATTGAAAGTGTTATTATTATGTAATGGTTTATAGATGATATGTCATAAGTAAATGAATATATCAAAACTGATGCATAGCAAATTGTCTGTTGATGTGTGTACATATGAGTAGCTAGGAAATAGGTGAGGATACTTGCTGCTTCTTACAGAGTAAGATTCACAGGCCAAAGATGATTATTATTAAGCTAAAAAGCAAAGTTACAAAGCAACTTAGTAGTCTTGGGGTCATAATTATCACATTATATAATTACTTTACTGTACATTGCATAAATTAAGATTCATTCGTTTAAACATTGGTTAGAATCCTGGTTCATGTGCAAAAATAATACATGTAGAATTTTTCTTAACATTTTCTTCAGGTTAGTAAGTATGGATTATGGATCAGAGTTTCTATGTGACGTTTCGATCGATTACTTGTACGGTAAGTACACTGTCACCTTTATCAGACAAACGACATTAGTGAAGCGTTAATAATGCAAGGTGTAAATTAAATGTGTACCAGTTGTCTGCATGTAGAATGTTTTAATATATAACTCCCCTGTACTGTTAACGAGTCCACAAGTCCAGTTTAATCTCCATTAGTACAAAGGTAATATAATAACTATAGATGATGTGCCTTGCTTGTAAATTTCTCTACGTCAAGATACTGTAAAGCAAAGATTTGGAATCACGATCATTAATTGCATTATCAAATAAGGGGAATACAGATTTACTGTCCACTTTAGTTTTAAATTTAGTGACAAATACTCTTAAAGTATCGCCCATAAAAGTATGCATTAAAATATTGCATTTTCCAATTCTGAGTATTACCCATGTCTGTGAATTACATCATACTTAACTAATACCGATTGGTTTGGTTTGGTTTAATTTTGTAATGTTTAACGTCCTATTAACATATCTAAGGTCATTTAAGGATGTGCCTCACCTAGTGTGTTGTGTAAGTGTGCAAGCGTGTATGTATGCTTGAGGCAGAGTATGTTGGTGTACTAGCTTGCCTCCTTGTAATAGTGCGGATCTAATGCCGACTTTCCAGTGCTATCTCACTGAAACAATAAGTCGAAGGCACCCGGCACAACATTCCGCCTCATCACATTATACTGACAACGAGTGAACCAGTTGTTGTCATTACCCTCAATGCTGAACATTAAGCAGGGATTTACAACTACCATTTTTAAGGACTTCGGAATGTCCCGGCCAGGGGACAGAACCCATTGCCTGCCTCACCTGGGCAAACGCTCAACATTAAAGCCAGAAGTTAGACTATAGTCACCTGTGATTTTATTTATTGTATTTTCTTTTAACACGACACAGTGGAACTGCAAGGTGTTATTAGTTTGATCATATGTTACCTTAACAAATTAATCAATAATAAATAAATAACAATACTCACCACCACCACAATGTACTGGGCAGGTATTGTTGTTGACATGTCGAATTTATCCTCAGGTCTGGTTTTCAATTTTGCTAATGACCTTTTTATTCTCTCATGGAATTCCTCTTTCCATCCATTCTTCATCATTTTGAATGATGGAACTTTTTGGTGACTCCCAATTTTTAACCAATTGAAGGGTGATACACGTATTTTGTCGATGCCTTGTGCATGTGACAATACCGGTAGACTGCTAGGATCGTATCCATTATTCGAAAGCTGTTGCTGTCTCACTATGTATAAAACATCAGAACTCCTACCTGCGCCATTTTCCGAACCTGAGCAGAAAAGACAGCATTATCATTGTAACATTGGGTACAGTTGACAAAATTTACAAAAATGACACGACATAAAAACTAAACATATACTTACTTGCATATGTGCTACATAGCATAGACACGAAACTAACAACAAGTAACTGTTGTGTTATTAGGAGGGGGCCCATCGGCACGGCCAGGCGCTGAATCACAGTCTGCTAGCTTCCAGTGTGTGTATTCTAAAACATTGACAGACTGCTGGCCAAATACAAATCACTCCGCGTAAGCATATAGTTCCACAGGTGACAACGGGTTTGTTTGAAAATAATACATAAAGACGTATTTTATTTAGTAACAAATCTGAATCCAATTTTAATTTTTCACAACATTTGCAACACCAGCACAGGTAAAAATATATAACGCCTCGCGGACGAATTCAATGTAGCTTGACGTTTTGTAAACATTGCGGATCGACATAGAAAACATTTATTCGAGTCGCTCTCAGCCTCCGAGGCGAAGCAACTCGCGGCACATATGGCTCACACAGGGAGATAAGACTCTAACCACAATGGACACACGTGAAATAAAAAACAATTCTTCTCGTGTTGTCGCCAAGAAAGTGTCGTGACAGACGATCAATGAAACCGGCCATTCATGGAAATTATTAAAATTAGGGGCATTGGATATAGCACGTGGCAATATTGACAGTCCTGAGTGACGTCATAAGTTGTGGGGATAATGGCGGGATTCTTAACGAGATTTAAATGAAGTCAAACACTTCCTGCATGCCTTTTTCTTACATGCCTTTTTGGAAAAATGCATAAAGATTTTGATGTCCGTGTGCTCGTTTTATTGTCATATATGATCGGTGACATACAACAAAAAATGTATGTGATTTTAAGTGAATTTTGTAGTTTTTACCATTTGCAGGACAAAATCAGATATACATGTATGAACTTTTTTGCACAATTGCAATTGACAAAAATAGTATTTTCTTTGAAATTATGTAAGTAAAATTTCGTTAACTTATTCCTTTTACTCCGAAAAGCAGTTAAGGTTACCCTACCCCTTATTTATTAATGACAATACAAATAAAGTTCTGCTATTTAACTTGTTTAAATCAAAAGTGATTCAGTTACATTAAATATGTAAAAAAAATATACCAAAAATGTATAATTTTCCACTTCGTGTCCAAAAAGGTGAAAATCATCTATTAATTTGTATAATCTCACCATAACTGATAATGCTCATCACTACAAATCATGGACTTGAAACGCTAACACTCAAAGCCAAACTTGTGAACAAATGAATTTAATCAAATTCATAACTTAATGTTAAGGATTTATAACTAGTTATTCTGGTCACAGGAAATGCAAAAAAAAACATTGTTCATTTTATTTATATATTTATTTGATCAAATTGCCGATTATTTAGAATATTTGCAAAAAAATAATTCCTTTTTTAAAGACAACCGCCGGATTTTACCAGTCCCAAAACTCTTAAGCATTCTAAGCCCGGCTTACATCCAAATTCAAAATGTTAATAAAATACTAATTATCTGGGAAATCAGTTCATACTTGCAATATAGATACACTAATAGCATACAAAAGTCACATATCTGGAAGCAGAAACGTAAAAAGCCATCTCTGCTGTACATTGAACATTCAATTTTGTTACAATTTTGGAAAGATTCCGGTCCCCTGGACACACTAAATGCTTCTGCTATGTAGATTGTGGCAATTAGCTAAATTTATTAGTAACCTTTCGAATATTTTAACCACCTTTCAGCCAAACATCATTTCAATGTTATCATTTGACATTTTGAGCTTGTCTCATTATTTAAGTGAATAACGGGGTTGGTTTGAGCCACGGAATTATAGACCTAAGTCCGTGGTTTGAGCAAAGAATCCATGCTTGAGCATGTATGGCAAGCCAAGTTGTCATTTATGCATGGAGCAATGTTGATCCAGTACTTAACCAAATTATATAAGATATCTTATTTAATTATGTAAGATATCTTATATACTTTATGAGATATCTTATATACTTTATAAGATATCTTATATAATAAATGAGATATCTTATATATTTTATAAGATATCTTATATACCTTTCTTTATAAGATATCTCATAAAAGATATAAGATATCTTATATATTATATAAGATATCTCATTTATGATATAAGATATCTTATAAAGAAAATTAAATGAGATATCTTATATCTTTTAGAAGATATCTTATATAATATATAAGATATCTTATAAACAAAATTAAATGAGATATCTTATATAATTCGGTTATAAGATATCTTATAAAGAACGAGATTTGAATTTGAGATAATAAACCCTCCTCCACAGCGCTCGGTAAAGCATTAAATCGAAAGCCTTAGTTTCGTACGTATCTCTTAACCGGAAATGAAGTATGTGAAAGTGAAAGTAGGAGTTTAATGCCACCAAATAGGTCTGGTTATAGCGGTATTAACATTATTTTAAAAGGTTAAGCTTTATAAAGTAGATGGGGGGTAAGTGGTGGAGAAATGGATGTTCCTATGTATTTCATAACTGAAGGAAAACGATCCTACTGCATGTATTACTTACAATTTATTCATTAAAATGTTTTATCTTGATTTTCTTCACGGATTTCCTCTAAATGTTTTTAAAGAAATTTGATAAAATTGTAATATTACCCGTACAAATTCACAGACAGGTAATTGACATTAAACATATTAGGAACATTTATTAATTGTTTCGGCTGCTTATCACAGACCGCATTAAAGCCATTTTGGTCTCTGTGGAGTATAACATATAGATAGACATGGGGACATTTTTTTTTATTTACTGTTTCAGACTGGTCATACACCTGTATTTATTATCACAGACAGGCTATGTATCTTTAATTATATTGTTTCAGATAAAATTGTTTTAACTATCACAGACATTAAAGAACATACTTATGTATTTGTAATTCTATGTTCTATCAATATACTGTAATGTAAGGAACATTAATTCATTGTTTCAAACTGGTTATAAACTTGTATTTACTTATACTATTACAGACAAGAAGTAATATTTCATTATTTGATACATATGTATACAGATAAGTGATATTTCATCATCAGGTGCATGTTCTTTAAAGTCTTTGAGATATTGATCACTTATAAGATATATTTTGTAGAGATACAATTGTATTTTGTGACCTAAAAGGCATTTCACACAAGCCAGATACATGGTAACACTTACAGCATGTCTGTAGTAGTAATTACATGTGTAATACCTGTCTGTGATAGTATATACATGTGTAATACCTGTCTGTGATAATATATGCATGTGTAATAACTGTCTATAGTAGTAATTACATGTGTATTACCTGTCTGTGATAGTATATACATGTGTAATACCTGTCTGTGATAGTAAATGCATGTGTATGATCTGTCTGTGGTAGTAAATACATGTGCAATACCTGTCTGTGATAGTATATTCATGTGTAATACATGTATGTAGTAGTACATGTTTAATACCTGTCTGTAGTAGTATTTATGTGTAATACCTATCTGTGATAGTATATGCATGTGTAGTACCTGTCTGTAGTTGTAATTACATGTGTAATACCTATCTGTGATAATATATACATGTGTAATACCTGTCTGTAGTAGTAACTACATGTGTAATACCTATCTGTGATAATATATACATGTGTAATACCTGTCAGTAGTAGTAACTACATGTGTTATACCTGGATGTAGTAATATATATATATATAATATATTGCTGAGCATCAAAACTTGGATACACTTTTGTTAGAAAGACTTGTCCTAACTCAGTGCCTCTTGTTTATTATAAAACACAACAAAGATATCTTTATAAAGAAATATTGAGAAGGTTATATAATGATTTGTATACAGATTATACAAACTAGTAAACAGGGTAAATAAGAAGTGGTTTACAGAGTATATAAAGAATGGTATATAGAGAGTGGTATACAGGGTACATAAAAAGTCCTTATTTATTTAGTAAGGGTATCCTCTATAATACAGCCTCATTGCATAAGGTACCTGTATTTATCATCTCTATTATATATAGTGTATTGACTCATTTTCCAGAAGATACAATGTACATGATACAAAGTATATACATGGTATATTTCCGGTAAAGAGGAAAATAAGACATTTCATCTTCAAAAACCTGTAATTGTAGCATATCTCAGGTCTGAAAAAAACAGAGGCAAATCAGTCACTGGGCCAGAGCATTTGGGTGCCAATAGAGGAAGTTTGGGTGTAAAGATAATTAAGATCCCCCACCATGTAACCATCTGAATACATCCATGCTTACATGATTGGCGCCAGGGTCCTGCCCTGCCACAAGGGGCTTATAGTCCCCAAATTTTACATGAAATCAGTAAAGATCCCATCCAAATGCTGCTGGGCATGCAGAGGAAAAACACTCATGATACCAAGATAGTCCCTAATGGAGCCCACCCCATCCCTGAGGACTTACTCCTTCAGTCATAACATGGAAATTGTTGAGATCCCCAAGCTGATATTTCCTGTATGGTAAGAGGTAATCAACAACTTTTAATGAAAAATATTATTCCAGGTGAGCTATTAATAATGTGCCTGTGCTTCTTGTTCTTGAGAGGCCACAATAAGGGAACATAAATGGGAAACTCCAGCACAAGCAAACATGTTATATTTCCTGTGCATGCAATCAATATGAACCAATATCAGACAACTATTATAAAGATGAGGTACCTTACCTACAGAGAATATGGACCTTACATATACCTCATGTATATGTGCATGCATACAAGATGTACTTGATGTATAGGTGTAATCTGATGTATAGAAGGTATATATATACCTGATGCATGGAAGGTGTATATATATACCTGACCTATAGGAGGTGTATACCTGATGTATAGAAGGTATATATACCTGATGCATGGAAGGTGTATACCTGACCTATAGGAGGTGTATACATGATGTATAGAAGGTATATATACCTGATGCATGGAAGGTGTATACCTGACCTATAGGAGGTGTATACATGATGTATAGAAGGTATATACCTGATGTTTAGAAGGTGTATATCTGATGTATATGAGGTGTATATCTTAAGGTTTTTTTTTTCAATTGTCGCCCTTTTACTCTTGGGGAGGGGATACATTTACATGATGTGATCATGTGGACGCTAAGGGCCTGAGGGGCGGAGCCAAAAGGGGCCAAAATAGCTCAAACAATAAT